TACCTCCCCGGCTCCTCTGCTTCCCCACCATTTGCAATGGGAGTGCCTCTTCCACCGCCCTTCCTTCCCCTTCGCGCTTCTCGGTAGCGGTTTGAACGCCCGAGGAGCTCTCGAGGGCTGCCGGGAGGGTCTGACCCTCCTCTCCCGTGGCTCCGTGTCCGCCTCCACGCCGGGGGTGTGGGTGGCACCGCCCGCCCGGGGGGCCTGTTGCCGACCCTGTGCTTCAGCGTGACCGCCATCGCTAGTTGGTGGCTTCCCTTCTCTGACAGCCGCCGTGAAGTGGGGGCTGAATAAAAGGGATGTGGTAGCGGTAAGGCATCTTGCAACCGTGGATCGTTTTACATTGCTGCGAGTCCTTATGTCGTTTGGACCTCTTTGTTTCAGCTGATGATGAGGAATGAAGGTGAGCGGCGATGCCAGCCTTTGTTGGCTGTGGCAGTTACTTGTGTCTCAGCTTGATAATGCTGCTGCTGGGCTCGAAGATAGCTCAGACCCTATTCAAATAGGATGCTATTCTTCAGCAAAACTTTTGACGGTAGAACATGTATTGACCAAGACTGCAGCAGTCATAAGGGAAATGAAAATGAAATGTTAAACACAACTAAAACTTGAAGTTAATGGATCTCTCTCTTTCTGTGAAATTAAAAGTGTTTATTGAATGTCTGATGGTACTTGACAATAGCATGCCTACCTCAGACAGTAATATCTACTACTCTGCAGTCAGGCATTTCATTATATGTCTTAAAATACGTGAGTTGTATGTTTAAAGCTTGTACATTGCTGAAGCATGGAATAGGTTTGCTCAAAGCCAGCTACAGTGTTGTACTGGTTGTGAGGCAACCATCTGTCATTCTGTTTTACCAGATAGATTCATTGACTTTATATCAGCCACTTTATAAAATAGATCTAAAATACCTGAATTGGGTGGGAGAGACTTTGCACTGGTAAGCTATATTGGGTACTTGCTATTTTTGTAGCTTATAGGAGTCCATCACTTTATGAAGACATTTAATCTCCGTTACATTAAAAATCATACAAGCAAGCTGTTTTTTTGTTTTGTTTGCTTTTGTTTTAGTTTAGTTCTGCAACAGAAAGTGCAAGGCAGAGGTGTGGCATTTTTCTAAGTAAAATAAATAAAGCATTTTTTCTATTTCACTATATGAAATACATTGAAGTGGCTTTTTTTCAATTGTCATCCTTTTAGACAACTTTGTCCTAGTTAACTTTTCATGTGTGTACAGTAGATGCTGAGAGTTAAGACAGTATTGATATGCATTTGACTTCAAGAGTCTACCCATCAGTATTAATATCCGTTCAGTGCTGTATTCAGTATATTCATAAAAACCCTTGAGTTAGTACAATATTTCTTAGCATGCCAAAACAAAGTCCTTTATAGACTCCAGGAAAATATACAGCAAAAATGTCTAGCAAGCTGTATCGTGGTTTTCTGTTGTTCTGTTTTTAGTCAGGGTTGTTGGAAGATATAATTGTATTTACTGACATGGTAATTCTGTAGATGGTTATTTTGTGCAATTAGTCTTAAAATAACTTGAATAAAATTCTATTATTTTATTAATTTGAAATTAGTCTATCATAGAACAGATTTCTGCAAATGTCTCAAATATGGCCTTAGAGCTGATAGTTTTGCTGCTGGTAGCTTGCTTCCATGTTTTTTTTTTTTTTATAAATGTGCCTTAA